CTGTCCCTCAGCTCTTCAGCTCAAGGCTAGCGCTCTACCACTTGAGCTACAGCACCTCTTCCTGTTTTCTGGTGGTTTATGGGAGATAAGAGTTTCTCTGACTTTCCTGCCTGGGCTGGCTTTGAATTGTGATCCTCAGATCTCAGCCTCCCTGAGTAGCTAGGATTACAGTTGTGAACCACCAGTGCTTGGCTTTCCTCATTTTTTTAAATCCTGACTAAAGAGCTAGAAAGGGAGCTGGGAGATTGAAGAGAGAAGGAAGACAGAAAGTAGGGCTTGTGACTTTTTATCATTTACTGTTGAGTGTTGATTAAATGTCTCTGTGCTTGACTCAGTGGTTAGTGCTGATAGAGAACAGGTTAAACGGGTCCAGTGTTCACAAATTAAAAAAAAAAAGAAGAGGCTGAGTGCCAATGGCTCACATCTGTAATCTTAGCTATTCATGAGACTGAGATCTGACGATCCAGGTTAGAAGCCAGAAGAAAGAGCACTTGAGACTCTTATCTCCAATTAACCACCAAATATCCAGAAGTGGAGCTGTGGCTTAGGTGGCAGAACACCAGTCATGAATGAAAAAACTAAGGTACAGCACCTAGGCTCTGAGTTCAAGCCCCAATACCTGCCATGCGTGCACACACACACACACACACACACACACGCACACTATAAAATAGATGAATAAAATTTAAAACTACCATGACCTAGATGGAACCAGACAAAAAGAACATACGAGTTGGTGAGTGCAGAGGGAATATTTTTGTGCAAATAATCATTATATGCATATTCATATGAATAATGGGCAAAAGAGTATCTCTGGGTTTAGGCAGTTGGGAGAACAAAGAGAAGTTGCTGTGTCAACTCCAGCTGTCAAGAGAAGCTTACAGAAAGAATTTGTGGGGACTGTGTCTGATGCCCCAGTCTGTACTTAACTATTCTTGGATTCAAGCTTCCACAACCTACATTTCCCCTCCGGCCTACAGGAAGCCCCTCCCACAACCTTTTTGCTTGTGGTTTGGGATTGTGTAAGGTTCAGCAGAGTCCTTTGAGGAGAATAACTTCCCCTGTTACTATAAAGATCTGGGGACAGGCTGCATCTCTACTCCACCCAACAAATAGGTGGTGATTAATCCTTTCAACCCTGGGGTGAGGTGGGGAGAAGGCATCCCTATGGAGCCTGTGTGTACTCTGGATGTTCTGTGAAGAGGAGTTTGGTGTGGGGCAGAGGAATTTCCGCCATCCTGCCTCTGCTGTGGGTTACTGATGTGATTCCTTTTACTGGGTAAGCTCACCATCAAATTAGCCATTAGGATAGTCTGCTTTTGATTCTTGGCCTTTTAAAGCAAGTTACTAGTGCTAGGGATTGTACCTAGGGCCTTGTCCATGCTAGACCCTAGGCCTAGGCTCCAAACAGTAGTAAGATAGATTTAAACTAGGTACAGGTGTAATCCTAGCTACTCAGGAAGCTGAGATCTGAGGATCAAGGTTCAAAGCCAGCTGAGATAGAAAAGTCCAGGAGACTCATCTCCAATAGCCAGAGTAGAGGTGTGGTTCAAATGGTAGCCTTGAATGGAAAAAGCTAAAGGACAGCATCCAGGCCCTGAGGTCAAGCCTCAGTACAGAAAAAAAGAAAAACAAGCACAGTGTTCAAGTCCCACGACCGACAGGAAAAAAAAAAAACCTACTCAACTCAGAAAAAAAAGAAAAGAAAAGATAGTTTAATGTTTCCTCATCTCTTTCTCTGATCTTTCTCCCTTTTTCTCTTTTCTTCATTTCTTGCCATTCTCTGTTTTAGGGAAGCAATTCCACCAGCTTCTTCCCGCTCAAGCCAGAAGCTTCCGTCTGTTCCTCTCATCAGGTTACAGCAAGTTAGACCTGGAACCCGCTCAGCCTGAGTCCTGTTTACACAAGCTGAGAAGGGCCCGGTACTACTCAGAGCCACGAGTGCCAGTGCTAGTGCCAGCTTTGCAGGCCACACACCTTTCTAATACTTTTCTAGATCCCTTTCCTTTTCAGCTCAATGGTCTTCTTATTGGACACATCTTGCTTTTGTGTACCACAATTGGCCTAGGCAATTGTGGCCTGAGGTCAGAAAACACCTTCAAGTGCCCTTCAGTGGATTTCCTTCCTACCATGGAACACCCTCAGCCAGAACATTTGGCCCCTGATAAGATCAAGAGTACGGAAGCCGGCGCCTCTGAAAGCCGTGAGGTCCCAGCAGAACGAGATGGGCACTGGCAAAACAAGGCTGCCAGGAACACTGATACAACAGATGGAGAACAGGAGCTAGCAGATCAAGCTTCGCTCCCTGGCCACGTTGGGGATAATCTTGAGTCGTGTCCTCCTGAGACGAGCCCAAGTCAACCTGGGCCACCCTGTGGAACGTCACCTGAAATAGAGACACTAGGAGCAATCTCCAGGCCCCAGGAGCTTCCCCAGTCCCCCAGGACCCGACAGCCTGAGCTAGATGTCTACTGTGTAAAGTGGATCCCTTGGAAGGGAGAACGGACTCCCATTATCACCCAGAGCGCCAATGGCCCTTGCCCTCTTCTTGCTATCATGAATATCCTCTTTCTGCAGTGGAAGGTAAGACAGAGTTCGGATGGGAGCTCAGAAAATATCTGGGAGAATTCTTCCCTCACTCACCTCCATTGTCCTGCTTTTCTCCAACATTCCACTCACACCAAACTCCCAGCTACTCAGAAGGCTGAGACCAGGGGACCTAGGTTTGAAGCCAACCTAGGTAGACAAATCCAAGAAACTTGTAGCTCCAGTTAACCAGCAAAAAAAAAATACTAGAGGTAGAAGTGTGACTCAAGTGGTAGAACACCATTCTTGAGCAGAAAAAGCCAAAGGGAGCAAGGCTCTGAATTCAAGCCCTACTGCCATCTCACACACACACACACACACACACACACACACAATTCCAGATTATTCTCTGTTCTTTCTTTGTGTGTGCCCTGTGTCCTGAACTTTTTTGCTTGGCTAGTGCTCTGCCACTTGAGCCACAGCTCCACTACTAGCTTTTTGGTGGTTAACTGGAGATAAGAGCCTCATGGACTTTCCTGCTTGGGCTGGCTTCTAGCTGCGATCTTCCTGAGTAGCTTGGATGATAAGTGTGAGTCACTGGTGCCCAGCTCTATTCTCTTCTAGTTCTATTTCAACAACTCCCTAGGATTTGGGAATGACTTGCTTCCCCTTCATTCTCTTGTCTCTCCACCCCCCTGGCCCCCCCCACACCTTACCTTTAACAATGGATCCCTCTCTTCTTTTTTTTTTTTTTTTTTGTCGGTCGTGGGGCTTGAACTCTGGGCTTGGGCGCTGTCCCTTGTGCTCTTCAGCTCAAGGCGAGCGCTCTACCGCTTGAGCCACAGCACTACTTCCAGTTTTCTAGCAGTTTATTGGAGATAAGAGTCTCACGAACTTTCCTGCTTGGGCTGGCTTTGAACCTCGATCCTCAGATCTCAGCCTCCTGAGTAGCTAGGATTACAGGCATGAGCCACCGGCGCCCGGCTGATCCCTCTCTTTTTTTGTCGGTCGTGGGGCTTGAACTCTGAACCTGGGCGCTGTCCCTCAGCTCTTCAGCTCAAGGCAAATGCTCTACCACTTGAGCTACAGCACCACTTCCGGTTTTCTGGTGCTTTATTGGAGATAGGAGTCTCACGGTCTCTCCTGCCCGGGCTGGCTTTGACCCGCGATCCTCAGATCTCAGCCTCCTGAGTAGCTAGGATTA